CCGTCGAGTCTCCTGACATAAAGTTATGTTGTGGATGCATAATTTCATAATTTCTGTACGTAATTTTTAGACTTTCCGCAGACCAATCCATGGAATGAACCTCGGCTCATCGGATCGGTGTAGCCGCAGGATCCGCCCGTCTATTGAGGTCCCATCATATCATATATGTACACCCGAACGAAAGGAAGTGCGAGCTAGATAGCAAAGTTTTCTCTATCTATGCGCGTATTAACTAGATAGATCGGGCCTGTTGTATAGATAGAGGACGATATTCAACATTGCCAATACTAGTGAGGATGACGTATTCACCAATCAGTAAGTACCTTCGATTTTGTAGCCTGAGCTAGTAGCAAGTCTAGTTCATAAGACTATTAACTAGACAGATCGAGCGCGTGAGCGCTTTATCTGTAAGCCAGAGTACAACAATGGCTCCTCTTCCTCTTCCCCTCCACTAGTTCACGAGTCCCAGAAACCAAAAGCCTGGCCGTCGAGCGGAGGAAACGTCCGAGAAGGGGGAAAGGTAAGGGCTTTCCACCCGCCGTAGACATCCAACCGTGACCTCTATCAAGTGGGTTGCTATTTCTGCTGGGCTGCTCTAACTAACCATCAACAGCAAAGCAACCTTAGGATTCCACATAGCCTCCACAATCACCTGTTCGCAGAAGCGTCCGTCTACAACATTTATGTCATGAGCATCCGTGTATTCCTCTTCAACCAACAATATAGCTCGAAAGGGGGTATGTGACTTAAGCTTGTTATATTCTGAAGCAAACTCAGTGCTTAGAACAGTCTAAACCCCTAAACCCTAGAACCGATATTAACCCAAGGCTTAATTGGATCCAGAGAGAATATTGGCCAGAGAGTTATTTTAACCAGAATATCAATGTGAGCACCCTGCCTGTAACTGTAAGGAACAAGTCGACGTCTTCTTCCGCTGTAAAGAGCAAAGTGAAGACAAACCAAGAGAGAAAAAGAAGGCATCACACGGAAATCCTCAATATCAAACAATTCTTGAAACAAATGGCCGCTTTATGAAGAAAGTGACCCGTGGGGTTGCAGATGCAAGTAGTCTTTTGTTAATGGTATAACGACTCTCTCTGCAGCCAATCAAGGGTCTCTCCCCTTTTGCCCAGCGGTTTGATATCTTTTTTATCAAAACACTGCTTAACGTCATCCCAAACTCACTACTATCTCGAGACGATTTATTCGAAACAACCTGCGAAAAGACCCAATGCGGGGACGAAAGCAGGGTTATTCGAGATATTGGACAAGTGATTGTGCGGTCTGCTAAAACCCTAGCGATGTATGGTGCTGCCCATCTGAAGCACTAAGTTGAAGCTGTGAGTAAAGGCTAGAGTAAAGGTGTCCCATTTTACGGTCCCCATCCACGGCCCGACTTTCGGTTTGCATTCACAGACCATCAGTTTGAGAAGCTGAAGCCCTTTATTGGTGACTGGAACGAGACCTCCTTTTATGGGTATAGACAAGATGTATTTTCCATTCTTGATGTGCATAGCTAAACGCGATGATATAACTAGCTCTTCATCGTGGGTCGACTAAATGCCCATAGTATGACTCTTGCAGTGAGAGATGTATTCGGGCTTTATAAGGCTATAAAGCGTGAAAGTGGACTCCATCGGGAAGTCCTCGCGTTTTCAATATCCCACGATTATATTTCTGTTAGAATCTATGCAGGTGAAGGTGTAGTCCATAAATAGTTAAGTTATCTTACTAATCAATAGTCATGTGATATCAGATTCGCGCAGGCGATGAAAAACATCAAGACGACCAAGAAGATGAAGCCCAAGACTAGGACGAAGAAGAAAAGCAGGCAGCTTTTTTTCTTTCTCTAATATGCCTAAATAGACTTGTTTATACACTGATACGATACCTAAGTGACTAACTGCGTGTCTGGCCTTTTAGTTCCCTGTACCCTGCTAGGCTCGCGGCTGAGATCCAAGATCGAGAGCTCAACTGGAACAGTGAAAGCTACAATACCGGAGGTTATCAAATAAGATACTAATAGCGCTTAGTTGTCAAGTTGGCAAATAATTCGAGCAAGTCTGGAACTCCACAAGAAAACCCCATTGCTACAATTTGTGACCAGCCTTTACAGACGCGTCTTCACTTTGACGACATCTATACCAATTGATGCAAACGTAATTCCAAACCTCAGGGCGTGTCGACCATTTACTAATTACTTAGACTCACTGTTATCTACGTCACTGCAGCAATGAAGGCACATCAAGGCACACCAGGCAGAGTAGACATAAAGCCCGTGCGGAATTCATGTGACACCTACATACCACTTAACTACAATAAAGCTTCTGAAAATGATATTGATGCATTGCTAGCCGAAGGAAGGGCCGCGGTAATTTCCAACCTTGCCGGTACCCCTAGAGGTGACGGTACTGCCCCCGTGTCTCCATATGAGAGTAGTGATGGTTCCCTCCAGATTCGTGGCGCAGCTTCAGTGCAACAGAGTTATCGTAAGGGCATCGAAGACAACTCTGATAATAATCCAGCTTCTGCAGCCACAATTCGGAACATTGAACACAACAAGCCTGCTATACCCTTGCCTGAGAAGCCTCCTGCTCCGCAGCCGCCCTGCACTCCACCGCAAGGAAGCCTACAACAGCATTCTTCGGGAGAGATAAAATTCTCTCCTATCTATAACCAATCAATGCCACTGATATCGCCTAGTGTGAGCTCGGTACATGGAGGGAAGGAGACTCCGCCCTCTATTACTCTCCCCGATGATCTCCAGTGTCACTGTATACCCCAACCAGAATTTCAAAATCTGGATCATCAAACTCAGCAGGATATTCATGTATGGTTACTGTTCACTGGGTATTACGATGAAGAATATCGTATAGAAACAATTTCACGCCGTCGTGAAATAGTGGCCGTGCACGAAAAATTGACAGAACTCATGAATGAGGAATGGCGTAAAAGACGAGTTTTTACTAATATACCTAGCTCCAAGCTCTCACATTCATTGTTTTCCTACATGATCCCCGCAGGAGCTCGAAGTTCTACACCCTCTGACTCCTCGGCAATGCGTTCTCGAACAGTTGAACCGCCGGTTGATAGTCCTGCTGAAAGGGCTCCGACACTCTCGGACACGTGCCTCAAGGCTAAAGCTGAAAACACACCCTGTTTACAACCAACCAATAACCCGGTCCAACCTTCACCACTCAAGCGTAGCAGCATGTCGGCTCCAGAAAATAGCGACTGCCAACGGAAGGTTGCACGTTCCAATGAACAGGCTTCCACTGCGAGTGAATTTAAGAAACAAGGTTTGTTTACCTAAAAAATAATCCTTCCCACTCCCTAAAACAGCCTTCCCGTTTTGCAGCTATCTATTGACAAGCCGTTTATAATTTCAAGGCTCAACAGGGCCATCTGACCACCAACAAATTCGGAATTGTCACTCTATCCCACAACGAGGTAGGACCTGTATAACCTAGATGATGCAACATATCTGGTTAAATCGCTATTAACCGTTTTGAAGGACGCCGTAAGAGGGGTGATAGCTACAGGGGAGAGGGTGCTCGACGTGAGTTTACCCTTCTGTTTTCTCGACTTCGACTATAATTTCTAGTACTTACCCTGGGCTTACCAGGAATGGGGCGACAAGGAGCATAGTCTTGTAATTGATCATACAGCATACATAGCCTACTTTAAAAGTGCGGATGGATTCTCTGCACTTCAATATGGGGCATCCTGCATCAGGATTGAAGTAGGTCAGGAGTTGTTGCAAAATGATTGAATTTACTTGAGTAAATCGTTGCAAGTTGTAAGTATTGCTAAGCATAGTCCCATCAAATGCTGTCCAGTTCTATAGACTCATGATATTAACTGGTAAATCCTTAGACAGCAATGATGAAACGGAAGATAACATACCACTTTTCTAATACAACCCAGATATCTGTCTTTGTTCAATATTTATATATGTCGGTGATAGGTTTATTTCGTGTATCTGTAAGATTAGCCAATTCTTATCGGGGTAGCCATTTTCACTAATATCGAATAGTTATTAAAATAGAACTACCATGATATCAACCATCCCCTTCCGACATTCTCAACCATTCAGTAGGGGAAAGGAGAGTCTGCAGTGGAAGTAGATACAGTATTACTGCGGCTCGCTACCATCTTTCGAATAAGGCAGCAGCACGAGTTTGTGTGTCAACCTGGTACAATCTACTACAACATGCAGTAGAGGAGGCAGATAGCGGTATTAAAACGAGGCTATATCATAACATTGACTATTCCTATAGTTAGTGTTCAGATGTGTGGAACTCTACTATTTGTGTTAGCATTCACATTCTTGAGTGTTAGATTTTATTTTACTCAACTTAGTTATATTTATATTTGATGTGGTCGCTCGAAATGCAGATGTACCTATAACGAATTTGGGCATGATGACCCCTACTCTCCGAGACCGATCACCTAGATACTAAATTTCACACTTCTAATGGGAGACAATATAGAAATATGAGACTTTATCTATTGAAAATATAACGAGGCCAGTGCAATTGCAAAAGCAACTGCATTGCCCAAGTCAGTCATTACACATGCCGAATCATAAGCACGAAAAAACATAATTTATTTGACCAATATCAATCATCATATAGTTATTTTATGACAGGTTGGCAACATATAGAATACTCCGCTACTGTGACCAAAAAGTGCTATCTATATACCATGCAACACCCGGCAATTGACTGCCGGAGGCTAAGTCATGAAAAAAAGTGGAACATGAGCCACGAAGAAATATCGTATATCGACATATGACACCCCACGTCATATTTACCCTTATCGATAATGGGAAAGAAACAAAAACACCCGAAGTCACCCATGCCGGTAACAACCAAGACTTCGAACATGTATACCCCCAAGACAACCTGGTAAAAAAGTAAACAAAAAGAATGGTTCAAGCAGAGGTATCACTCCTCGTTCTTGACAGTCTTGAAAGAAGCAATTCGTCTGCTGATAGCGTCCATGCTCTCAGTGATTTCCAGCTCTCTAAGTTTTCCGCTGCCAACATCGTAGATGACACCGTGCAGCTTGAGACCTCGTTCCTCAATGGCATCGAGAACAGCGCTGTTCTCACGGAGAACTCGCAGTCCATTTTCGACATTGATCTCGGCAAGCTTGACGGCAGCTTCCTTGAGCTCAAGATCCTTCAAGACGTCCATATGCTGCTCTCGGAGTCGTCGAAGGGGCATGAGCCATGTATCAAGGAGGCCGAGCTTCTTGTTGGCCAAAGCAGCGTTGATGCCACCACAGCTAGTATGGCCACAGAGAATGATGTGCTTGACCTTGAGGTAGACGACAGCAAATTCAATGACGGTGGCAGCAGAGATGTCGTTGTACTGCACAACGTTGGCAATGTTGCGATGGACGAAGACGTCGCCGGGCTGAAGGCCCAGGACAGTGGTCTCGGGGCAACGGGAGTCAGCACAGCCGATCCACAATATTTCCGGAGATTGTCCTGAGGCGAGCTTTGGGAAGAGATCTGGCTGTTCTTCGTCTAGCTTTGTGGCCCAGATGTTATTCTTGGCCATGGCCAGCTGGTAGCTGTCTATCATAAACGTTAATAAAGGAGGGCTAGAGAGGCATGATCAGTCGAAACATGAAGCGGATTGAACATACCTGGAGCCGTGTTCTGCTCATTTTGGGCGGCCATGCTGGGAATTGGGTGAGGGTTGGAGTTGTTGCTGGAAGACATCTTCAGCCCAGGCCGGGTCGATGAGAAGGGTTTTATCTGTTGTCGTTGAGAAAAGGAATCACGGGGCGCACTTGGCAGGTCTGCTAGGCGGATAGCAAGCGATGGAGTCGGGCAAGGAATAATACGCTGTGAAACAGGTAAGGTTCTGATAACAGAGGGCTGGTTAGCAAATGCCCAGGAAAAAGAAACGAAGGGCGAAGCGGACTAGAAACAGCGGATGTTTCCCCCTCCAATAGGAGAGCATTGGCATTGAGTAGTTTAAGGTGAGCGACCATGACCGTGGGCAGCAGCAGCCAAACACCGTGTGCGCCTGGCGTACGGTGAGATGCATCTTCCCCATAAAATTGCCAAGGTGGAGATAGTTTAGAGCCGATATATAAAGAAAAAGAAAGGAATACAGCAGAGGGAGTGCGTGCGAGGGCCGAAAAAGGGTATGGCATTGAATGACTCCATGACCCTACCCCTCCACTCGTTTCTTTTCCTGGGCTGCAGACGAGTAGAAGGAATGCGTATAGATACGGGGAGTAATATTTTTGGTAGGGCCACGGGAGCTTCTGTGGCCAATGCCAGGACCAAAGGGAAAAGCAAATATCGGGGCAGAGGAAGAAGCTGTTGAGTCGATGGTGTTGAAGGTGGTGGGGATTATTATTGGATACTCATTACTCACCTCCAGAGCGAGCCTCGCATGGGGACACAAGACGAGAAGGAGGAAAGGGAGCGAAGAGACGGAAGAGCAGCTGGTCGAGAGAACTATCCTGGGCGTATCCTGGGCGATATAGAAGATGAAGACATAAGCAGCGCGACGACACGAAGAAAAAGACGGAGGTTGAAAGGTCGAAGATCGAAAGTTGAAGTCGCTTTTTTTTCTTACTTTTCCCTTTTCGGCTGCCCAGAGGACAATAACACGTGATATATGCCAAGCTTTCCCAACGAACCTTATTTACTCTTATTTTTATTCTTTTTTTTTCTTTATCGCAACATCAGAGATAAAGGAGCCGGAGCCGGGTTAGGAAAAGGAGGTGCAGAAATTGACTAAAAAGAGAACAAAATAAGAGTAGAGGAGAAGGATACAAGTGCTGGATCCAGCTAAGAGATACAGTTCCCAACGCCAGTGCCTCCGGATACAGTGTCGGTCTTTCTCAGGGGGTCTCCTCAGTCAAACAGCGGCCCTCGCCAGCCAAGAAGCCAGTCGACCCTGTCCCTCAGACTCGCCTTGCTTGCGTCGTTAGCCTTATCGGGCTTTCCACTGCCGACATTTGTTCCTTCATCTGCCGCATCCGCTCCGGCATCAGGCTTGCTGACCGGTGCATCTCCATCCTCTGCTGCCAGCTGCGCCTCAGATGGTGCATGGGTAGATGCAGTATCCGCGGCCGTCGTCACGGAGCCGTTTTCCGTGGAGTTTGCCTCTCCAATAATGTTGATTGCTTCCCCACTGTCCGGTAGAAGCACGGCCCACGCTGCCGTCGACGGCCCTGTGTCACCGGCCACTTCTTTTCCGGCGATATCAACCGATTGCCCGGCCTGTCCTCCAGCTGCACCCTCCATCCCGCCGCAAACCGCAGGCTTCTGGGACATCGGGAGAAGATATCTTGATCGTATATTGATCTCCCATGAATCTGCAGACCCCTCGACAGTTTTACATTCAAACCCAGCGACGAACAACACAAGGAGGACAAGTATCGTGAACTTAACGCACCTCACTATAAACTGTATCAGCCCCTCTTCCCCGCAGAACCTTTGCAGCATATCTCCGAAAAGGCGAATTGCTTTTCCACATGGCTTAAACAGCCCATGGCGGAGTGCCCTTCCCACCTGTGGCCCCTTCAATTTTTGAGCAAACCCATTGGCTACGTCCATAAGTCTGTCTATATTCACCAATGGCGAACGCCTTGAGTGATATAAGCAGCATGGACAACGTCTTGCATTAGATTCCTCCTGTTGCACCTCCATTTCGGACCCATGCACCGCTTCTGGGTTCTCCTTGTTCTCGTTCTCTTCAAGGCCATTCCTGCCTTCCAAAGGCTGGTGCTCTGACATATAACTGTCATATTCTGGGTCACATTCGTCAAATGGAAGCATTGCGAATAAATCCAATGCCCATCTGTCAACTTGAGGAGGTTTGAATCTCAATTCCCATTGAATGCTCATATGGCCGTCATCCTCTGGCAAAGACGCTTTGAACATTTCCGAATCACGTTTCAAATCGCCTGTCAAAGTAACTCGTATGGTTGCAATGAGGCCAAGATTGGCTGATACAGCCTTAGAGCTCGTACGCACTCTCAGCATGCCACCAAATGCTTCTAAAACTGGGAGTTCACCTAAACCTTCTCTCTCCGATAACTTTCCAGGACGATGCCACTTCAAGCTACGCTGCGAAGCCGTCGATGGGCTCGGGAGGCCTATAGTATTGTTCTCCTCTTCAAATGAGTAGTCTTCCTTGATAATACTACTTGCAGGCTCGTCATCATCAACATAGAATTCATTAATGTCGAAATTTCCGGACGCTGCTTCTTCGGGGGTAAAATACACTTCGTTCTTTGACGGTTTGAGACAAAGATCGTTGCTGGGGTCTTCATTCGGGTTATCTTGGCCCAAGGATGGCATGGCTCCGCTTCTATGGCCTTCATCTGGCCAGATGAATTCTTCATTTCTGTGATGCATTTCAAATCCCTGGTTTGGGAGACTCCTGGAAAATTGAGGCTTTGTTGGTGTTTCCATCGCTAATGTTCTCATATCAGGCCAACGACAGGATGATTCTGCGACACTCGTTGTATCGATGTCCCCATCTTTTGCTTCATAATCTAGTTCTATACCCGAAGGCTTGGCGTTCGATATTGCTCTGGTCATCATGACCATTTGTGAAAGGGGTGAATTTCTCTTATGCGTGATCTGTGCAGGGCTAAGATTATTCTCTGGACGGACAACACTTACTACACGTAGTGGTTCGTCTGACTCCGACGATACTTCTTTACGCATCCGTTTGATGGGTATTTTGCTTGCAGCGCCTTTCTGAGGCGATCTCGACGTTCTTTTAGGAATGACAAAGGTTTTATTAGGGACTCTTGACTGAAGTGTGGTATGCTCATGGCTGGTTGTATCAGGCTCCTCCTCTTTGTCAGGGCTGCAGGCGGAGATGAGAACTGCTGTGGAATCACACTTGGGAGTAATATCATTTAAATGATCTCGGTTGCATTCTCGTTCGTATCCGAATTCACCTTTTGGGACGTCATTTTCCTTGTCATCGGAAATTTCGTCAATGCGTTCTATGTCCTGCACGGCATCGATGTCGAACTCTGGAAAGCTACTGCGGGGTTGTAGGCCTCTTTTGATAGTGATGGACTGCGCATTTCCAGGGCTGTCTTGCATTCTTTGCTCGCAATCCTCATGGCCTGACGCGTCAAATACGTCGTTGCCATCGATGGAAATCCCTCTAACCCCTGCGCTACTTCCGCTGCTGTCGTTGTCATCAAAGTCGAAACCGCCGTCATCGGCATCATACCCCCCACAAGTGTCTGGACTTGGTGGAAAAAGCCGTTTGACTGGAGATGGAGATATTCTCATGTCTCGTGTGACCAACTTCCGAGAGGGTACTTCACAAGTTATACTGACACTACCTTCCGATTCCTCTGCTTTCTGTACATTATGATCATCTGGGCCCTCATCGCGTGGCCATAGGCCCAGACTGTAATCGGGCTCATTACTGGGCTCATGCTTCAGCTCATAGGTGCCTTGATGTAGTATCTCCACTTCCATCTCCGGGTCTAATCTAAGTACCGGGAGAACAATATCAGGCCCTGACTTCATCTATCTAAAGCGTTAGATCGTTGTTCGTAGGTCTTTAGGTATGCTAGTAATCACACAGTAGTACTCACTTGGAGTGTCATATCCAAGTCAACATAATGATGGCCCTCTGTACTGGCATTCCAAACGCCTCTCAGGGCCACATCACACAGGCTGGTAGCCATGTTGGCTCGATCAAGGATTGAGATGCAGCTACAACGGATATCACAAGATCAGCTTTCTATCGGGCCCTGTTTATCATTATAGGGGAGCTCTTACATAAACAAGTAGTATCAACCGCCGCCCGAATGACGCGTTATCGGACTCACTAGTGAGCGGAGGGACTACAAGGTCCACGAGTAGTAGGCTGACCACGTAGATAGCAACAAATAGCAGGGAGAGAGTAAGGTCTGGCAGCATCTCCAAGCAAGAGGAGAACAAATGCTGAAGTTGTCTTGGTGTAGGGAGAGAGAAGAAAAGGAGTAAAGTGAGAAGCGCGAAGTGAGGTTGTGAAGTTGATGTTTATACTGTTGTGGTCTCTTATTTCCTCTTTTGGACAAAGTAGGGGGAGTCCAGGGCAACAACCAAACTGCGCGGTAAGAGCCGCCTACAGCCACCAGCCACATACACTCGCTCAACTTGTTGCTTAGAAGTCTTCTGGGGTGGCTAGAACGCCAATATGGTATTATTGATAGTAAGGTAAGTAATGCCAATGAAAGTACAAGAGCAATGTCTGCGAAACAAAAAAAAAAAAAAAAAAAAAAAAAAAAAACAACCAGATAAGGCAACCAAAAAAAGAACCAGCTCCCTTGATGCATATGAAAAAAGTATAAATACACCTGATCCGGGCCTATAGTTAATCACCGTCATTCTTCTCCGTTTCAATGCCCCGAGACCGAATAGCACCAAGAAGCAAAAGCAGCAAAAGAGGACGTTAATAGTGGGAAAACTAGGGGAATGAGAAAGCAAAGAAACTGAAAGGTCGACTGAAAAAAAAAACCAAAGGGGAAAGTAAATTAGCAAACCCGATGTAAAGTAGCATGGCAATGAACCCGACGTAGCTCCTTTCTCGCGAAAGTGTATTCCATCTGTATGCCCGTCTGATGAAATCTAAAACCTGACCAAAACGTGACCGTGGCAATCGAAGCAATAATGAAAGAGAGAGCTCAAAACGAACGGCCGAGGGGGTAAGGTTGGGTATAGGCAAAAGTCCGACGTACAGGTCAAAGGTAGCTAGGGATAGAAAAAAGTGAAGTAATCCAAAGAAAAGGGTTATAATAAGACAAAAGGGGAGAAAAGGAATTGAGGAAGTGATAGGGAGGGGGAAATTGGTTATAATCGAAATCAAACGGGTAAAAAGAAAAACAGTCATTGCCAAATGACCAGTTAACTACTCACCATCTTGCCTTTTCTCTTTTTCCTTTTTCTTTTTTTTATCTTCACTTTCTCTTTTGCCTGACTGACGCTTTGAACGTCAAACTTGCATAACTCACCAACCAGTAAACGCCAACCAACCACGATAAGAGCAATGAGGTATATCCTCGGCATAAACGTTCCAGTATCATGTATCATGAAGACATTGATCATAATCATGACCTCACCATGCATAACCCCCGCTGACGCCAAAAATTGTGCAAACTAATATACCATCATGGAGATAACTTTATCTCATAGGGTACCATGAAGCTGGAACGAGGCCATTATTCATAGGAAATTGCTGGGCAGCAGCATAGGGTGATGTCGCTTGGCCTTGATGTCCTGCGTGCATTGGTTGTGCAGCATGGCTAGGCTGTAGCGGATGTTGGGTTGAATATATTGGAGTGGTTTGATGATGGTTTTGGGGTGTGATGGCCTGGCGTTTTGGAGAGCGAGACTGTTCGATGGGCGAGGTGTTTTGATAGTTATCGCTGTGGCTATAATGCCTTTTAGTGGACCTGTTATGATTGTTAGATAACAACTTCCATGTAAGCATGTCAGTCTTGGATCTTACAAAAGTGTTCGTGGCTCTTTGCGAATTCGGAGCTTGACTCCCTGGTCGGCAAATGATTTCGACAGATAAGTAGACTCGGCCATTCCGGGAAAGTTTTTCGGAGCGAGAACTAGATGGATGTTAGGCATGGCGTACTGTAACGCAATTTGTTGAGGATCGCCTCACCTTTGAATTGGTTTGAACTAATGCGTTTGATATGGATGGCTTGATCACGTTTGGCGCTGTTTCATTTGTAAGTAAAGTCTGAGGTAGACCGTAGGAAGACAATCTTGAACCTACCCTTTGAGTTCGAATAAGTCAAACATGAGCCTGAATTCTCCTTCTACCCTGACGGAAAGGTCACCGAATACAAAGAAGCCACCATCTGGGACCGACAGAGTAAATAATTAACGAAGTACTTAAAACTGGGCCAGGGACGGAATCTAAATCTCACCTTTGTTTTGCATATCCTTTAGGCGATGCAGTGAGGATACCAAAGTGCCCGCTAGGGCACATGCGGGTACTATAGGGCTCGAGTCGTTGCCTTCTGCGGCGGTATATAATGAGCAGCACATAAAGTAGTAGGGACTTTGAAGGTAGTTGCTGCAAAATTGTTAAATAAATTATTTCGAATGTGCACACAGATGAGGATATGTCCATACTTTGAAGCTTCACAATCGCCCTTGACTTCAAGCTGGATAATAGGGGGTGGGTCGATAGGTTTACGCTCTGTAATAGGATATAAGCTGTTAGAATAGAACTTCTTAAGACGCTTTAAAGCAATAGGCGGCTGGATTTGGGTATGGTGGTATTGATGGCATGTCTCTTACCCTTGTCCTTGGATCCGGCAACGCGGGCGCGCTCGGGTTGTTGACGGAAGGTTAAATGATGATAATCTGAGAAGCTAGGTGTACTATATTGCGTTAGAATCTCATGCTTCTTGCTTCGAAGGACGGGAAGAACGAACCTTTCGATGGAGTCGGGCTCTTGCTGAGGTACAGGCTGCGGTAGTGGTTGCGACATAGGTTGGGACATGGACTGGGGCATAGACTGCGGCATAGGAGGTCGCATAGGGTCCTCTGTGGCGTATGCTGTAGGCGGATACAGAAGAGTTGAACTCATCGCCATTTTGGGCTTTAGGCAAATATTCCCGTGGTTGTTAAGAAGAATATCCAGGGATGGACAAAGGGGACACCCAGGTTTGATACGCTAACTGTCTTGTCTGTGGAAAGTGGGCAGACCTCGTAGTCGCTTTCAAGGAGGATTTAGGCAGAGAATCGATGAAGATCAGGCGGGAAATTGGGTGTATAGGTGAAGAACATCCAACATATCAGCCTTTGAGGTTTTGAGGGGAGCTTCGAGATAATCTGTCGAAGAAGGAAGATTTATAAGGAATGGAGAATCCGGATCACGAAGAAACTTGTCGAGGAAGCTTTTGACGTTTAACGTGTGTTTGAAAAGCGCCCAAGCTCAGCATAAACTCTCCAGTATTTAGGCAGTTGTCAAGGCTTCCGTGCGCCGGCAAAGGTGGATGGGAAGGGATTTGAACCACGGATGGCGAAAAAGAGAAGAAGAGGGGAGGAAACGGTCATAAGATGGGGGAGTTGAGAACGTCAGAAGCGAGACCAGGCGGGAAAAGGTTTTTTTCCTTTGCGATTTAATTCTGGTTAATGGTTCGATATGACGATCAAGACAGTCCACAGTCCACTTTGTCAAAAGAAGCAGACGTAATCGAAGGATGTGGTTGGTTCTTTGCCTCCCAAGCCAGACCTTTGACCAGAGATTCTAGTTCCTCGGAGCTTTACGCAGGTACGGGTGGGGGGGAGTAGGGGCTCTCCTTTGAGCAATCCTGACCACTGGGGCAACGGTTTGGGTTTTGGCTCAGAGATAACTATCGGCCACGCTTTGGAAACTCAAATGGGGTCCGCTCCTGAAATGGGGGACCTTTTGAGGATGAGCTGGGGGCAGATATATTGCAAAGATGGCGCATAGAAACAGCACGAAGTGTTCTAGCATCAGCTTCTCCTGTTGAAAGCAGGTATATATAGAGAGGTGCTGTTTGCTCGCGAGGCTAGAAGCCTACTGTATGGCGCCCGGATATCAGCTAGAGTCCGGGAGCGGTCGAGGG